GTCGTTTGGCACATTAACCCAAGTATTATGTGACCTAAACGCTTCCTTAAACGAGCATTATTCGACGTGGTTTTTCTTGAATACATAGCTAAACAAAATTTTCAGTTAACCAAGATTGTGTAAATTATTGATAATGGGTACACTGTTAGACAAATTGTAGTGTAATGACATCAATTGGTCCCATGAGACCAAAGCCAAGGACAGAATTGAAACTACCATGCATGAAGCTTCTTTGAAAAAGGAAGGGTACTAGGGTTTGGTTAATAGGGGTTTGATTTGATTAAAAGGTCTATGTCTATATCCAGAACTCAATTGCATCTGTACATTTTTTTTGTAATTATGCACCTATCTAATTTTAAATCAATGCCAGAATCTTACAGGCAACGTGGGCCAATGGACAGCATCTTCAGGAGCTGCAGTCTTCTATGGCTATATGTATATATTGAATTCACAAGTAGTGACTGACTCACTGTTGGTTTACACTTTGCCCATCTGGCACCATTTTCCATTGACCCACTAAAGGTCAGTGCATAAACCTGACAGCTCAGGTCACATGGTTGGGCTTCCCCATGCCCTCACCCCCCCCCCCCCCCCCAAAAAAAAAAAAAAAAAAAAACAACGACAACACACCAATGTTATGCTAGCTAACTGTACATGGAAAAGGTAATGGTACCAATCAATTATTTATGGATATCGTGTCCAAAATTATAACATAAGTAGATGAGATTATGATTTAACTGGATGACGTTAAGATACAATAAGATAATTTTGAATCGATCCTAAATTATTATTGATGTTTGGCCGTAACTTGATGCAAACTGAACTATAATTAGTCTACATAGTAAGAACTTTTTTTGAATCATAGTAATTGACCCCAAGAAAAAATTGTATCATAGCGAATTTCATAGCGGAATCACTCTCTCTCTCTCTCTGTGTCTCTATATACATATATATATATATATATATAGAAAAAATATAATGCTGATGCTGATTTTAAATAACTTATTATCATGCATATTCATCTTAATTGAAACAACAGCAAGAAAATTACCAGTAGAAGAAGGAAATGGATGCCTTGTTGGCTGTAGTAAAGTGGGAGGTGGAGGATAAGTGGGGAAGGACCCCTCCATCTGTGGAGGATAATAAAGATAAGGTGGTCCTTGGATACGTTGCGCCAGGGGTGCAGAAAATGTTCCCCTTGGAGCTTGCATGGAGTATCCATAATAGTAAGGAGATCCTATGGTTGAAGAAGACCCTCCATAGAGCTGATGATAGTATTGTGATTGCTGAAGTTGAGGGTTATATATAGTCTGCCCAATCAAGAATTTAGTAAATTACATTGTATTAAATAGCAAAAAAAAAAAAAAATTACTTTGTGTTAGTATGATTTCTTCGGTGTGTGTGTGTGTGTGTGAGAGAGAGAGAGAGAGAGAGAGGACTAACTTGGTGGAATCCATAATCAGGTGGGTATGTTGCATACCTGGAAAAGTAAGATTCATGGTTAAAATTGTGCAGCATAACTTTGCCTTTTTAATGCATACAAATATATATAAATTATTTTAACAGTTATGGTCACTATAATCCTATTAAAATCTAAAAATTTATTCTAATTTATTAATATAATAATAATTATGAATTATTCTAGATAAATATGATAGTTATGAGTTACTCACATGTCACACATGTTATTTGCTAATATAATGATGTGTCGGGAGAAATAGTTATGAATTATTATAGGTAGATATGATGGGTAGGCTGATTGCTAATTAACGAGTCAATTGTGAGTAGACAAGTGACACCCACACATTTGACCTTATAAAAGGCACTGTTTGGGGACAACAGAACATTATCCATGTTTTGAGTAGTCTACAGTAACGGAAAAAAAAATCGGTACTAAACTACTATTTATAATTTCTATTAGTATTTTTATTAATTTTGAATGATCAATTACAAGGTATCACAAACAACCAAACTGATAAAAAAACATCAAGAGAAATTGTAAAAACATACAAAATCTTCTCGTCCGTGTTTCGATGTCATGTTTTTATTAGTCTGTTTGTTTTTGTGGATTAAAAAAGTATGCAGTTGCATGTCTCCCATTAGCAGTTTTAGTGGGACCGACATGATATACTAATTTAAATCTTAAAATCCTCCATCACCCTCTATCCGACCCAGCCGACTGTTGGCTAGTGTGCAGTCTTCTATAACTGAATCCAACTTTTCCAACAAATATAAGTTGTATTGAACCGAACCTTTACCCATGTGCACATCTAAGCCGGCTAAGACGTGCACATGGGTATATTTATACTTTAAAAGCGTTTTTGCATGTAGCATCTGGCAGTGTTGTGGTTATGCCTAGACTATTTCAGTGAAAGGCATGAGAAACAAGAATGGGGTGAGACTGATTCATCAAGAAAAGTTCAAAATCACAAAATCTTTGTAAGCCTGCAGAGATAGCCAAATCAATATAGAATCTCAAGCCAAAAACAAATGGAAGAAGACAATTGGGTGAGGTTCTTACAACATTGTACCTATCTCTTACATCTATCTGTTAGGGAAGAACATACGAAAATCGAAATAATCTTCTTGTTTTGAATGAAATATTTAACTGATATAGGGTCTTAGTAAATCAATTGAATGTTGCAGAGCTACAGTTGGGATCCGAATCTTCTATTATTAATTTTATCAGTAGGGATGTTCTTTCTCAAAACTGACGCTATTTCACACCAAAACGACATCATTTTATTAATTAGAACAACATCGTTTTAGTATGAAATGACTTCGTTTTGGTGTGAAACAACGTCGTTTTGAGGAACAACACCTCTTTTGTATAATAAAAGTTGATACAAGAATGGGACAACCACACAAACAGGGTGAGTGTGTGTGTGTGTGTGAGAGAGAGAGAGAACAACTACTAGGTTTGACAACTATTTTTGAGATATGGGTGCCTTTTGAGGAAATATGATACCTGAAGATTACCCCATTTTTGCCTTAAAATACAAATTTTGAGTTTAATTCATAATAAATTAAGAGATTATGATCGATCCTAAAATATTAGAATCGATCCAAACAACCATTTTGTTTACTTAACCCTAAAAATTTTTTAATCTAATACAAAAAATTATAAATTTTTGTATCGTCCTAAAAATAATTTTTCCATACCAAATTCTTAGCCCACAATCCAACTTTACAAAGGCCAAGTTTAGGAAAATTTATGTTCATATTAGAAGAATGCATGTAGACTAAGAGAATTAATTAAAATGTATGTAAGTTAATCCAAACTCCCTTAACCGCAATACGAAAAGAAAGAGAGGCTAGGGTTGCCGTCATATGTTAACTCCTTTTCAGGTAAATGTTGGATAAATAATTTAAAGTACCTTTTTTACTATTTATGCCCTTTGTACACGGCATTGTTGACCAATTTAGATAAGGGTCCCATATCTGACAATATGATAAACTTTTATCTGAAAGAATATAATGGCAAACTGCTTCATTGGGTCCACAAACAAATAAGTTTACTAAATAAAAATAAATTTTGCCATCTTAATTATATGCATTTATTCTTCCATAAAAACCTACACGTAAATGCAATCAGATTCTGATTAAGGGGCTAAACTTCATGTAATCAAACTAATTTATTTGTTTCTTTGATCAGATTTGGTAGTTCAATCACTGCTAATATTTATTTAATAGATTGATTAGCATGCCCAAAAATAGATGAAAATGTACATCAGGTTTAAATTTAGAGTAATACTATTTGGATCTAAAAATTTGATCTAATATGCTGACATAATGATGTAGTTTCATAGGAATCATTGGATCAATACCAAGTTTCAATGTTTGATGGGATCTACAGTGAATATAAAGGTCACAATGCATTAAGTCAACAAATTATGTTAGTAAATTAGGTCTGAATAGCATTGCTCTTAAATTTATTGTAGTAGTATTTGGGACATAATTTAGGGTTAATTTGCATCTTAAAAGATACTCAAAATTCTACCCCAAAAGATTTTATTTCACAAATTGCATTCTATATCATGAAAAAGTTACAATGTGATACAGTCGTTCACTCTTGCATTTAAAAAAGTAGGTTATATATTATCATATTTATGCCACTTATTATAAAGGAAAGCTTATAGTAGATTGTGACTGGGTCATGTTGTCTTTTTTCATGACATTAAGGGTGTATTTTGAGAACTAAAACCTTTCAAGGTGCAAATTGAAAGTTTGAATATCTTTCAAGGTACAAAGTGTGATTAATCCAACAATTTATTTAATTCTTAGCTGTCAATACCAACTAAATTGAACAAACATTTAAAGAACCAAAGAAGAAAAAAGGAAAAAAAAAAAAAAAACCCAAATATGGTAACTTGTGTAAACAATTTTTCTTAATTGTATGCTTGGTTTCTTTTCTCTTTTTTTTCTTTTTTTCGTTTTGCCGTTTTTAAAAGACTAGCATGGACCATTTTCTATCAGTATTATGGACTAGGACCAGTGCCAGTATAGTGAAAAGGAGACTTACCCATAAGGTGGATAAATGGCAGGAGGTGGTGGTGGTGGGGGAATAAGCGGAGCTAATGGTGGTGGTCCTGCTGGGACTCCACTATACGATGGTGATGCACCCTGTGGTAGTATTGCACCTCTTTGATTTCTACCTACATTTTCAACAACCACAAACAGATTATCACAATGATCTTTGAAAGTTGTTGGATTAATCGAAATAATGTAATTCATACAGAAAATCAAGATGACAATGTCGCCGGACCTCGAGGCGGTGAAGGCCGAGGCCGGCCTAATGAAGCAATGTTACAATTGGCTCTTCTCCCAGCAATGACAGGGTTTGGATCAGCACAAGCCCTCGTTGCCGATTCAGGATCACGAAAGGTCACCTGATCATCAAAACCTTTAGCTTGATTAAACTTAAATAACAAGACGTTGAATGAAAAAATGAAAATGCAACAATTAACGTCGTTCGGCCTATAAAGCTTATATTGACGGTCTCAACTTCTCAGTAAGAGAATCGTTGCTCCCTGCAACGACTTTGAAGCCAACCTCTTTCTCAAACCTAGTGGTTCGGTTGCGTTCACTCCTTTAGTATCTACTTTACTATAATCGGAAAACAAAATGGCCTACACATGAAACTAGGGTGAATATACAAACATATTTCATTAGTATAAACAAGAATCCAACAGATTAACAAGAGCTCGAAAGTTCGGTTGAATCGATCCCTGAATTCCTTAATTATGAACATTAAACGAAGTATAAAGATTGAACTTACAAATCCATATCCTTTAGACTTCCCACTGTTCTTATCAATGATGATAACAGCTTCAAGAATCTCCCCAAACTGCTCGAAATATCTTCGCATTACATCTGTTGATGTCTCCCAAGCAAGTCCGCCGACGAACACTTTTGTAAACGTTGTGTCACCAAACGGCGATCGATAATGCTGGTGAGCCATGGTGGCATCTATATCATCAAACAACAAATGGTTTTTTTTTCCTTTCAAGCATGAATATTTGATATATCATTGATCTAGTTCACACTAATAGACCACGTAGTAAATATCTCCTCATGCAACCATTGCTCTCTCTCTCTCTCTCTCTCTCCTCCCCTCTACGACTTCCCTCCCTCTCCTACCACAAGAAAGATCATCGCTGGAGAAGGGAAAAAGAGAGAGATGGAGATAGTTCACTGATACTGTTGTCAATAGTTGATGGGTTCCTTAAGGCGGTTAAGAGCGAGAGAGAGAGAGATCAGACACTAGCTTTGATGGCTTATAGCTGCGGGACTAAGGGCACTTGAGCCTGTCCTCCAGCCTCGGCATTAATAAACCCTCCCACCCTCTAATAGATTAGTCCTTTTCTCTCTCCTGATCTCCCATTGTCTTTGGACTCTCCTCCATTGTTTCCTTTTGGCTTTGGCCTCATTCTTTAGCATTTAAGTCCTAACCCTCATTTTTTCTTCAAATAAGTTGCTCATTACTCTTTTTTGGTTTTGAAGTTGTTCACAATATTTTTTTTTTTTTGCATGGTCTTTAATATGATTATATCCCACATATGGACCCACCTTGGGACCTGCATTGAAGAAATTCATAATAATAGAGACTAGATATATGTAAGAGAAGATAAAATTGAACACAGAGGACATATGTGCCACATTGATGTTTATTCATTGTACTTGGTGACATAGCATCGAACCCTATTTATAAGATGTTTGGCTCGTCAATGGATCAAACTTGATCAATCACAATTGTTGAATAAGTAGTAAGTACTAATAAATAGTAAGTCTCATAGTTAAATCAATTTGATTGATTACGTCGACATTTTAAATCCATATAATATTATTCTACGCAAGATTAATGTTCTTTTCACTATTACTTTGTTATATAAGACTCAACTCTATTTATAAGATAAAAAAACATAGTATATATAAAAGTAAAGATTACTCAGGCTCATTATTTATACTTATTCAAATTAAATAAATAATGATAGACCTCTTTACAACATATTTATCTCTGTCATGCGTAACTATCGATGTGGGATGTGGGATGTGGACCCTCTTGATCATCATCAACAACAATGGGAAATATATATATATTTACAGCGTCCTTTACATAATCAGAAGAACCAGAAATAAGCTTATGGTGGTTTTATGGCAAATGGGATAATCAAAATCAATGACTTTCCTTTTTAGGGGTCGGGAACATCAATGACCACCGTTCATGAATTTACTACGTTATAGTTGTTGCTTGTTATAATTGTTGTAATTCAAACAACACCTAATTATGCTGCCATGTGCAAGGATGTGCTAATTATATCTGGGTAAGATTGCGATACTAAGGGAGTTGTCTTATTGAAAAGTATAATTTTTGTGAATCTAAGTTATAACAATTTTAAGTCAAATTACAACTAGATGTAATAATGTAATGATTAAAAAAAAAGTCCTGATAGATCCAAAATATTAGAATCAATATCCAACAACTCAATTTTTGTTGTAATTCCGTCAAATAAACTTAATATTACTTAATATTACTCTCAAACCCCAAAGACTTGACTGTGGTATTAAAAAAAAAAAATCGGTATTGTACCTCTAAATTTAAATTATTTTAATGGGTGTTTTTATAATTTTTGTGAGTTATTTTATAACAAAAAAAATAATAACTTTTATAGATATTTTTATTACTTTTATGATAAAATAGTAAAAATAATTACCACAAAAAATTAAAAAAAAAAACTCACAAAAATTATAAATGAGTACTGAATTTTTTTTTTTTGGTATTATAGACAATAAATAAAAATTTGGGTATATCATACCATCATTACCCATAAATCATGGCCAACTGAATATTTCTACAGTCGAAACAAACATTCCCACATGACCCCACGTTCCAAACCGTCCAACTTTCCGCAACAGAAAAAGGAAATTGATAGAACAGTTAGGATCCCTAATCTAAACTAGTCGATAAAGACACACAGGTTAGTCATAATTATAAACAATGGTCGGCTGCGATAAAACCGAAACTTCCTTCAATCGTACAACTACGAATACAGAGTTCAATTATGATACCAAAAATTTAATTTTTAATAATTTCAATGATCTGTAGGTACAAATTAATTAACCAAAATTATCTATTTAATATTTCAGTTCATAATTTAAAATTTTAATTTATAAAAATATAATAACAATTAAAATTAATTCAATTTTTATCTATTTCGATCTAATGGTATAGAATTTATCCTAAAAGAATTTATCCTAACTCAAATATGTCAAAAGGGAGTCAAATACGTCAAAAGTGAGTCAAAATGTAAAGCTAATCTCGTATTATTTTATGTTAATGGACAACCATTATGTTGTCCACATTCTGGCTTGGATACAAATGTTTGTCTTTTCATTTTTGTAACACCTTGTTAGTTTAATGTATCAAACAGCTTTCTGTACAAAGTTTCTGTTTTTCAAGTAACATACACATGCAGAAAATATATACATTGGTAAAAAAGTACACACATTTTTTCAAGAGTTCAGATCATTAAAACAATCTTTTTACTTGTAAGAATAAGAATTTTATAATAATAAAAATCTCGTATATTATGTACATTTTACTGTATACACGTACAGGAGACAGAGAAGAACAAGAGGTCATTGTCTTTGCTTGTTGCCAGCGTCAGGGACGAGGAGACAGCTAAAGCCTAAAGGGATCTCTATTCTCTACTTAGAAAGAGTAGACTACTGTACAAGTCCGTGAACTGCCAGTACCCCCCACGTGGGTTAGTGTCACACTTTGAGAACAATGAGCTGGATTTCATCTATCTACTCTCTTTTTCACACCTCTCTCTCCCCGCTCTCACTATCTCTATCTCTATCTCTGTTAACAATACCAAAAACTCTCATACTATGGGTGGTCAACCCACTGGCACCATCACCCAACAGCCCACCAATGAATGGCCCTTCTTTAAGGCTGTAGTTTCTGTGCAGAGAAAAGTCCATTCTCAGACCCAAGTTCAGTCATGCGTCGCTTTGAGGAAATAAATCAAAACTTATAGATATGATTCCTCAAAGCCTCCCACTTGTGGTAGTCATGCATGTTTCAGTTTCACTCACGCTCCTATCTCAAAAATGTTTCAGTTTTGGTCACTCCCACCTCAAAAGTATATGGGCAATACTTTTTGGTATTATACTTCAATTTTTTTAACAATATAAATACATCGCTTGTGGGTTTTTCTCATTTTATTATTTACAATTTTTCATCAATGATAGTGGACCATTAAATTCAAAATCAATGGTCTGGATCATTTTTCCGCATGCCTTACCCCAAAAGGATACCCTTTTATTATGGCTAATGAGGTCCTGTCCATGGCTATGATTCAAAAGCTGACGTTCTTCCACTTTTCTGAAGATTATGATGTTTGGTTTCTGTAATGATAATTCTCTCTCTTGTAACACCTAATCTTACCCTTAATTGCATTCAGTCTAGCAAAATCCTTTAGCTTGCAATCTCTGGTAGTCATTATGGCTCAGCCATTTCCAAAATAACCACATGCTCTTTTATTTATTTATTTATGTCTATAATAACCAATTTTTAGATTTGAACGCCCTCTAATATATTTTTATTAATTTTTTTCCATGGTATATTATATAAAATGAATTCAAGTGAATTTCAGTATAAGTAGATCTATTATTAATATATCGTGAATGATCTACTATAACATGGGGGGTTTTAACTTTCAAGTATAGGTGGACTCAAGTTTATAACTTCAAGAGGGAATTTTCAAATCTTTGGGCAATGAGGAATCCAAAATTAAGCCTAGATATATTAGGCCCATGTAAAACATACTTACTCTTGAGCTACAACCAAACAAATATAAGGTCGATTTAGCAAATGGTGATCTTGCTCAAAATATGGTTGAAACCGAAAAAAATGTTGTATATCTACTAATTTATTTATTTATAATTTTGGTATTGATATTATCAATTTGTGATTGTTACTGTTGAGATAATATTTTCAACAATGAAAATTGTGAAAACTAGGTTGCATAATCAAATGGACTAATCAATGGATCATAGATAACTTGATTACTCGTATAAAACAAATATATTTTTCAATAACATTGATGATGAAGTTACCATGCAGCGTTTTCAAATTTTGAAAACTTGTCGAGGTCAATTATAAATAGTTATAATTAACCCATTTTTTTGTTTGCAGAAATTATGTATACCGGCTTTTGACTTTTTTTGTATTCAATGAATTTTTACCAAACAAATATGATGTTAAAAATACAAATTGTGCGGGCTTGATCCTGCACGATATATAAGATATTGGGAACAGATCTCTCCCCTGATGAACTTTGGGTGAGCCGGTTGAGTGGCCAAGCACACTGCTCGAAACAGCCTACAAGGAACGGTGGCAACCTGGAGCGGTGAAGGAAGATCCTGGGAAAGGAGGAACGATCCTGTACGTGCGAAAGGTATTTCCTGGAACAAAAGAGAACAGGTTAGAAGGGCGCCGGAGTGTTTTTCGGCGTATCCCCTCCGACGATCTAGTCAGTCTTTGAATGAGAGAGAGGAAGGAGAAAACAATGAGAAGGATATTTCGTAGTAGGGAGTTTTTGATTGCATACCCGCTTTGTCTTTTGGGAGGGGTATTTATACCTTAGAAGATCATGATTGCTGTCAGTGTGGTCAGTAGGTGATCATCAGGCACAGGTAGCGTGCGTAATCATTTGATGAGGAATGTCTTCTCTAATTGACTGCTCGGGGTCCCGAGCAATTAATGGTGAGTTGTCGGGATGCCGACGGTACAATATGCTCCTTTCGGGAAGGATGCAATAAATGCTCTGTAATAGGAGCATTTATTGCCTTTCATATCCGAACCTTACCGCATTAAATGCGGTCTCGTCAACAGAAGGGTGTAATTAATTGTTTGCTTTCCCAAGTCGCGTGCCAGCAGCGGCATGCGGTTTG